TATTAGATATTAATTATCAACTATTAGTTATTTTTAAAAAATTAATCCAAATGCATACTTTATATTTAAGTTGATAGTATTGTTTATAAAATTAATTAAATTTTTTATTAAAAGTATTTAAATTTTATTATTATTATTTTTTAATTATTTGTATGTCATAATTGGTTGACATTTTGATTATTTGTATGTAATAATTGGCAGCAATAAAAAATTTCAATATATTTAAAAAAAATTGTAAAGATGGAACTTTCAAAATAAAAAAAAAAATTAAAAGATAAATTTTTTATAATATTTTTATACAATAATTTATAAAAATTACAAAATAAAAAAAATTCCTACAAAAATATTGTCGGATATCATTGCCCAAATGAAAAATTCAATAATTTTCCATTTAATAAGTTTAACCATTCGGTCTCGGACGGTCGGACCCGATAATGAAAAATGTAAAATGACGGAAAACCCTCTGCCCTTCTCCGAGTTCCTTCTCCCTTACTTCCAGACACAAAGCACCTTCATACATGTCGTCTTCCTCCTCCATCGAAAATTATTCTCAGAAACAAACGCATAAAAAAAATAGGGGGGGTGCAAAATAAATCTCTTTCCTCGAAAAGCTTAATCTTTGTACAGAAGTGAGAGACTAAATCTTCCTTCGAATCGCAGATATGGTGATTATCCGTTGAAGAATCTTCTTAAATTGCTCCAGGTTCTTCCTCGAATCTCATTTTCTGATTCAATTTCGAGCTTCGTCCTGGTATTTCTAGGGTTCTTGTTCAAGTTCCTTGATTTCGGTTTTAGTTTGATTTTATGTAGTCTCTCATTCGTTATGTTTTTGTCATGCAGTTGGTTGATGCTTTCTCTGTATGTAATAGCATCAACTGGGTTTTACTTTTGAACTATTATTCAAGCTGTTTGTTGTGTTGTTTTTTTCTTCTTTTTTTTTTTTTTTTTGGGTAAGTTCTGTTTGGTTGCGGAGAAAATGGAAGGAAGAAAAGAGGATTTACTGTGTAAATAATACAGTAAGTGAATGCTGTTTAATTACTCAGAGAATTAACCTGTCAACTTGTTGAAATCATGGGGTGATCCTTCTCTGACCTGGCTGGGATTGTGATGTTTAGGGTGGTCGGTTTCAAAACTATTAATATCATTCTATTATAGGATTAGAAACGCATAAAGTTCCTTGTTTTATAATATTTGTGGATGAAGGTGATGTTTTTTCTCCTGCGTTGATCAACTGCAATCCTTATTTGTTCAACTGCAAGAGTTTGCTACGGTTCCTACATCCTTCATTTACTTGGATGATCAGGATGGATTGTTCTCTTGGAGGTGAGAGCCTTGCTATACTGCAGTTGCATAAATGGGACCCCCCTGACTTGCAACTCGACTTATCAGAATTTCGTGAGGCCTTTTTGTCTCCTACAAGGGAATTACTGTTGTTGCTATCATATCAATGCCAGGCTTTACTAGTTCCCCTTATTACAGGTTAGCATTATAATTTTTTCTTGTTTTCCTGTCTCTTCTAGAATGCCAAGATACGATATTTTCAGCATTAGGAAGTATTAGTCTGGGCTTTCTTTGCATTTTTGTGTTACTTAATTATGCTTCTGATGCACTTGTAGTTCCAGTGTTTGGGACCTTTGGGTGGCTAAAGTTTGAATTTACATTTTATTTACTTTTTGCCTTTTTGATTTGCAGGAGACTCTGTAGATATTGATGAGTCAGAAAGTTGTGATACGATTCTAAAAAATTCAGATTCAACAGCTCTATGCTTGCCAAGGTTAACTTCACCTAGTAGGTCAAAGTTGAAGGATGATATTCCATGCCCTTCTGGATCAGCAACAGATATTGATAATGACTTTTCTCTTGATTGCAATTTTTCAAGATCTAATAGTTACCCTTTTCTTTGTGATGTAAACTCGTTGGCTTGGGGTTTTTGTGGGGATGCTTATAAACGACATAAGGATGGGTTATTTAGAGAACTTCTTTTTGTGTCTGGCAGCCAAGGTGTGATGGTCCATGCCTTTTGTCATCGTGATAATAACATTTCAGAGGTGACAACAGCACTGGAGGGGGAGTTTGGGCAAGGGACATGGAGGGAGTGGGGGCCTTCATCTGCAACATCTCAAAATATCAATGAAGAGGAGCCTATTTCACCATCTTGTGAAGCTCCTGGAAAAGTCATTGATAAAAGTGGTGCCAATGTTTGTAGCAGACCTCCCGATAAGATAACAAAAAGAGATGGGGATGATGAGTTATCAAGAACTGTTAGTTCAAAGAGGTGGTTACGATCCTTTTTCACTAAAGCTGAGACTATTGAATCTGAAGGTAGTGTTTGGACCAGGCTCCCAAATAAGTCATCATTTCCTTCTACTGCTAAGGTTGTTTCATTCAGCATCTGTAATGGAAATTTGCCCCTTCTGAACTCCCATTCTCAAGACTGCTCTGTATCAAAAAAGACGAGCTGTGGGGAAGAAATAGTGAATCTAGAGAATGATTTACATAAAAACTTATCTTCATTAGATGTTGTTACAAGTCATTCATATAAATGTACCAGAGTTTTCTCCAGTAATTCCCATCATTTAATTGGATTCTTTTTAACATTGGTGGATTGCAAGCCTGTCAACATTAGCGATAGTGAGGAAAAAGGAAGAAGGAATGTAGTTACTGTTGCCAGGTTAAAGCCTTCAGGAATCCAGTGGGTTTTTTCTGTAAAGCTTGAGGAAAGGGTAAATATTTGCCCAGTGGCTGAGTGGGCAGACTTCCAGTTTTCTGATGATTTTCTTGTTTGCCTTAGTTCTTCTGGCTTAGTATCCTTTTATGCTGCAGAGTCTGGTGAGTATGTTGCACATCTTGATATTTTACAGGCTTCTGGATTAAACCATATTCGGAATTGTGAGCTAGCAAAATTGTCTCTACATGCTGATAGACATACTGGACAAATTGATGATGTTCATGATGAGCCAACTCATAAACATGATGGTTTCTTTGGTAGAAGATTATTTAGGAGGTTATTTGCTGCTTCACATACATCTCTCCTGGCTGTAGTTGACGAATATGGTGTAGCATATGTGATATGTGCTAGAGACCATGTTCCAGACATGTACTATGCTTATGAGAAATTGATTCCACATTATCATCATTTTGGGCTAGGGATGTTAGTTGGTTGGGAGGTTGGTGGTTCTGATGTCGGCTGCCAAAGGGTGTATTCTGATTTTCTGCATTCTCCTGAATCAGATGTCTCTTCCAAAAGTAAAGGAAAATTTTCCTTCTCTGATGATGTTGGAAGCAATTTTCTTCACAAACTACAAGACTTGAACCTTAATGGAATTGGTTGTAAGTTTCATGACTATCAAACACAATCACATCTTATGCGAAATGTCTTTCTTCCAACAGATAGATTTGGTGAATATGATTGTATCTACTTTTCGCCTTTTGGGATCACCCGGCTCATTAGAAGGCAAAATCTAAAGGAACAGAAGGGTTCCCAACTTGTTCATTTTAACTTGCATACAGACTCAGCAACTCAGGATGACAGATACTTGAATTTGAAGGTTGGAATGTTTTCTCTCCAAGGGAAAAAAGAAGCTTCTGTGGAGCAAGCAGTTGGCTGTATTTTTCAGGGATGCTTTTATTTGGTGACCAAAAATGGTCTTTCAGTAGTTCTCCCTTCTGTTTCAGTTTCATCAAACTTTATTCCTGTAGAAACAATTGGTTATCCACAACCAAATATCAATATGAGCACAGAACATGAGAAAAGCAGTTTTGAATTGAGAGAACCCAAAAAACCCTGGTCTCCATGGAAACTTGAAATTTTGGATAGAGTTCTTTTGTATGAAGGTCCTGAAGAGGCAGATCGCTTATGTTTGGAAAATGGTGAGAATAATATTTACCCCACTACTGTAGAATATATTATATATACTGTTCAAATTTAGTTTCTGGAATCATTTGCTTTATCTCTACTTCAATTTACTTTTCATAATCTTGCTTTACTCATTTATCAACATCTTATTCCCTTTCTACTTGTTCTTGTTGGTGTGGTTAGCTGTTAATTGTCAATGTAGAATGGCTTTTCTGTTGTAATGAAGTTTATAATGCATATGGAAACTTTCAGTTAGATCAATAATGCAAAATGTAATATGCAAACTAGTTTTATTGAACTACCATGTGTCCCTTGAAGGTAAAACAAAAATCTTATAGATTGCAGACCTACTAAGTGTCTGTTTGGTCTAGTTTGTGAAAAGATATTCTCTGCTGAAAAAGCTGAAGTTGGGCTCAATGCAGTTTTCTGAAAAGTGCTTTTGGCTTTTTGAAAAGCTGTTCTCAGCTTCTTTAGGGCAAGAAGCTAAAGCTACAAAGTACAAACCACTAGCTTTTGGAGTAGAGCTTTTGCTGTTAAGTTTCTGAATTTGACAGCTTTATCAATTTCTAATTTCTTTATGTTTATTTTATACAATTTTTTGATTCAACACTTTCGTAAAAGCTCTACTGAAACAGTACTTTTACCAAAGTAATGGCTGAGCCAAACTAGCTCTTAAGACTAAAACCAAGAGTATGAATGAAAGATTTTGAAAGAGTTTGCATCTAATTCATATGAATTTTCTTTTTGAGAATGAAAGCTTGAAAAGCTGTTCTGGCTATCCATTCTATTGATATGGGACTGCTGATGTTTGCAATTATGAATTTGTTAGGCTGACAAGCAGTATTTAATGGGTCTATGTCATGAGAAAATTTGTTATTTTATGCAAAATTGCTATACATACAACCAGACCAGTCAACCATTTCATATTTCTGCATAGAAGGACTCTAATTGGGTAGTGATCATTTTGATGGATTCTACCCATGAAAAGTCCCGTCAGAGTCTTATAGGGTTGGAATTGTTGGCCTGCTTTGCATTTTGGATTGCAAAGCCATTGAATTCTTAACTTTGTACAACTATGTCTAATTAATCTTAAATATGTCATTCCTACCATTTTCAATTAAATTTTGTTTTATAATGTTGGAGAGGATTTGAAAGTTGAAAGCTTTTAAAATACTTTACTGTTTGTAGAGGATTCCTCTTCAGTATTGCCCACATCAAAGTGTGAAAATGTCATAAATTCTAGATAACTTTGTATGTAGATTTTTTTTTTTTTTTTTTAATATTTGATCAGTGTAATTTTGGTTTATGCATAAAGAAGAAAGCAGAAATTTGGAAAGGAAATTGCATGAGAGTTGTCTGATAATTACGATCTTTACAAAATGTTCCAATTGCAGTCTGCTTTCAAGATTTTGATTGATATGATTAGAGTGCCTTGTGGTCTACTGTTAATTGATTGGAATGATACTTTGACCAATTGATTAAGGATTAACTTTTCAGATTGGGTTTTTAGATTGAAAATGAATGTTATCATTCCTTATTGTTTATGAATAGATTAATTTGTGAAGAACACCAGCACGATAGCTGTTTGGTTTTCAATTGAATAGGATCCTTCTTGGGTTTTGGGTTTAGGTGGTCTATGAAAATGCACAGCACAAGTAATCATATGGATGTTTGGAGGTAGATTTGAGCTAAATTTTACAAATTTGGATGCCTAGTGCTACACAGTTTTTTTTTTTTTTTTTGGAGCTCCCCATGGTGAACATCTCATTATTCTTTAATCTGACATATTATTTACTGCCTTGTCAGGGTGGGACCTGAAAATTTCTCAGATACGAAGGCTGCAAATGACATTGAAATACTTGAAATTTGAAGAAATAAAGCAGTAAGGATCCTCCCTTTTTTGTCTCTTGTGCTGTTGTTCTTCTTTCTTCCCTCCCTTTTTCTTTGTAACTTGAAGTGATGCCTAAACTGCATGCCTGTTGCTGAAATAATTTTTCTTTATCAAAATTTTCTGTATGGTGTATCACTTACAACACAGGCCAAGGCCCCAATTTTCTTTGCCCCCATTTTCTTCTTCCCTAATTTTACTCCAACAGATTCAGAAGGAACCCAGAGGTAATTTGTTGATGTGATAACCAAATAAAGTCAAGGATGTGCATTGTAAGAGACTTAAGAGTGTGATATCACCATTATTGTTGTTGACATGTTGTTAATCCAAAACTATCTTTTTCACCTGAAAGGCTGAAAGAAGGAAAAGGTTTCTTTCAAAGTGAGTGTTCATCAATTAATTTCTGGAGTTATTCAGTTGAACTTATTTTATTATATAATTTCATTTTGTATTCCTGCTGTTAGAGGGAGACCTTTATGACTATGGATTATCTAGTGGGTTCATGCTGAAAAATTCTCATTTAAATACAGGTTTTGTATACTTGCTGCCAGACATCCAGAAGATCTGATTCTTCAGTATTTCATACATAATGAATTACATTAAGATTTGTTCCACTGACTATAGTTGAGTTTAATGTGTAATTAATTTTCTCCATTCGGTGGGTTAACAGATCTCTAGAAATGCTTGGGGGTGTCAACCTAGCTGCAGAAGGGATTTTAAGATTGCTTCTTGCTGCAGTTTATCTAATATCTCATAAAAATGGCAGTGAAAGTGAGTTTTCTGCTGCATCAAGGTAAATATCTCTTTTCACTTTCATTTATTGACTTGGATGCATAGAGGCTTGTATTACACCTTCTAATACCAAGCATTTTTTATCCTTCTTTCTCTTGTTTAATTATCCATCTTGAATATGTTAATTAGTTACATCACCTTCTAAGTTTCTCTAGTGTAGCCTTACTGTATCATGGGAAAGATGGCCTAGCCTCAGCAAAATTCTTTTCATGTTTCTTTCTTTCAAAAGTTAATCCAGTTTCAGATTGTGGCCTAACCTTATCAACTTGCCAAAATTGGAGCCTGTCCTTTTTCCTCTCTCTTTTCTCCTGTTCTAATTGTCAAAGCAATGAGTCAAGATCTCTTTATTCAGGAGCTAGGTGAAAATATAACATCATTTGGTCTATTAAATATTGGTTTTGTTGCTGGTGGTATTGTTGTCTTTGTTGCCTACAAATTAAATTACAAACTTTTTTATGGCAAAAAAAAAAAAAAAAAGAAGTTAATGCAACCTCTTGATAACAAATTTTTGTTTGACTTCACATTTGAGGAATTGGACATTTTGGATACCTTATGGGCAGTTTAAGACTGTTATGTCCTTCTATGACTTGGAGTGGGCTTTACTTCTCCGTAAGGTCATGAAATCTTGATTTAGAGGATATCAGGTGTCAATTATGTGATTATTAGTTCTTATATTTATTTGTTAAAGAATAGTTGTTTTCATTTTGAATGAGGGAGATTGATATGAATATCTTTTGATATTTTCTCTATTCATTTCCTCATGCTCAAGGCTCCTTGCTTTGGCGACCTGGTTTACGACCAAAATGATTCGTGAATATGGATTGCTCCAGCATAAAAATGATTCAATCTTGGAACAGGGCTTGGATAGGACCAGAGTACTTCCTCTTCCACTAGATTTACCTGATAATTTTCAGAATGAAGTTGGAAATTCCTTAAGGCTTCATGAATTGGCTCATTTTCTGGAGATTATACGGAAGCTGCAATGTCAACTTAGAGCAAAACTTAAAAAGCCACCCCCAGGAGTGGTATGGTGCTTTGTTATATTCTTGCAATATGCTTCTTCCATTCTGTGACTAGAATTTTATTTGTGGTGTGGAACAGGTGGATCAGGGGGAGGCATTAGGTGTTGTGGACTCACTCTCACTGCAAGATGGATTTCAACTTTCGACACCACTAGCAGATTCCTTGGATACATCAAATCATCATGAGGATGAGAAGCTTGCTTTGGTTCCCAAGAATTCTTTGAGCTCTGAAACTATGGATTCGGAGGATTCAAGTGAAGTGCCTGCACTTGTGCCACAAGGAATGGTTTTTGCAAAGAAAGTTCTTCCGCTGGAAAATCCTATGGAGATGATTGCACGTTGGAAAATAGATAAACTGGATTTGAAAACTGTGGTCAAAGATGCTCTACTCTCTGGTCGTCTTCCTTTAGCTGTTCTTCAACTGCATCTCCATCGTTCAAGGGAATTTGTCTCTGATGAAGAGTCGCATGATACCTTCACTGAAGTTAGTGGTATTGGAAAAGCTATTGCTTATGACCTATTTTTGAAGGTAACTTGGTTAATTAGACAAGATGGTTTTTTTATGTATATGCATCACAGTGAATTAATTGGATATGGACAATAGGGTGAATCTGGACTTGCTATAGCAACACTGCAAAAGCTTGGAGAGGATCTTGAAATCTGCTTCAAGGAGTTGTTATTTGGCACGTTAAGGAGGCCTTTACGGATACAGATTGCTGAGGAGATGGGTAGATATGGTTATCTGGGACCATATGAACGGAAGATATTGGAGAGGATATCACTTATTGAGGTATGTGAAGTTTACTGATACTCTATGTTTGTATTGCAAAAGGATGTAAATGTGATGATGCAATTTCCTGTTTTGAATTCTGACCATTTCTATGGGGCTAAAACCTCTCCACTTTCATGGTAAAGAGGCTTTATCCTAGCAGCAGTTTCTGGAAAACTTATCTTGGCCATCAGAAGGAGCTAATGCACGTTACATCATCTCTAAGCTCATCAGGAGGAATTAATTTACATTTGTTGGATTTGCATCCCTTCAACAATCTAGTAATAAAGTGTGGTGAGATTGATGGAGTTGTTCTAGGTACATGGACAAATGTTAAGGAAAATTTATCTGATCCTGCGCCTGACCAAGATAGCGCTTCTGCTGGATATTGGGCAGCAGCAGCAGCATGGTCTAATGCCTGGGATCAGAGAACCATTGATCGTGTAAGTCTCTCTCTCTCTCTCTCTCTCTCTCTATATATATATATATATATAAATGCTAAAAATTGGCAGAGCGCAAGGACTATGTTTTGCCGTTATAAATTTTGATTTTCTCCAGACTAATCTAATGGTGCACAAAATTGACTAGTATACCTATGAATAATTGTTATAAAATCATTAACAATTATTTCTTATTTGTGTGGCATAATTCAGTACTTGCGATAGGGTTTCAAGCAACTATGGTGGTTTTAGTTTTTGTTTGTGAATTTGCTTTCTAGAAAAAGTGATATTTTTCGTATTGATTCATAGAAATAATGCTTGTTTGTTTATGATTTAACTGGGTATGTTGAGTATTGGGGTTTAGATTCCTCATTTTTTGAAATTCATTCTTAGATATATCATACCGGATGTTTGCCTCTTGATAAGCAATGCATTTATGGAATAAGTTAATGCCATGAAAGCAGTATGTGTTCCCATTCTGTGTCTGGATTTTTAGAGATTAATATTCCTTTTTTTCTCATTTTATTTACTCTGTTCTCATTTGCAGTTTGTTTTAGTTTGCTTTCTCTCACTCACTGTCTCTGAAGGCATGAATATGCCTTTTTTTTTTAGTTACCGTCTTCGGTTTTGAGATATGGTAAACCTTTCTGAATGAGATGGTGGTCTATGGAATTAAATAGATTTGGCTGGCTCTCTGTTTGCTTATCTTTTATTGGAGGCAAGCTATTTACATATTAGTCTGTGCATGACATGCAGACTTAAGTCATCTCAGCACACAAAATGGCTGCACTAAGGTGGAGCCAGTTATTGCAGGTGTCAGAATAGCCACACCTTATATTTTTCTTATTTTAAGCTCTTTTTTTTTTCCTGGTAACCTATATGGAACATGAATGCGCAATCAAGAAAAGGATTAAAGAGAATCTTATTGCTGGAAATCCACCACTTTACAGGACTACACATACATATTGCATTTTCTTAAATTAAGTTCCCTTCAACCAGTGTTACCTTCATTTTGTTCAAAATGACTGTAAAAGCTTCCCAGGAGATCTGGTCTTCAGAAGTGATGTCAAATAAGAAGTTTTACACACATGCACAAATTGTTGAAAATAAAAAGTTAATTTCTAACTTTCAATTTAGCCTGACATTTTAAGGTTTCATCTACTTCAAATTGTGTGCACAACTTTCCCTTCAACTACTCTGACAGCAGCAAGTCATGTTAATGAATAACTCTGTTGAATACATTTGGGTTGTCCTGGGTATTTTACTTCCTTTTTTTTTTCTTTTTTCTTTTTTTTTTTTGAGTTTATTTCTATGACTTTTTGGCTGGAATATGGACATACAGATAAACACCTTTAAATCATCTTCTTTTCAGATAGTGTTGGATCAGCCTTTTCTTATGGGCATTCATGTATCATGGGAATCGCAGCTGGAGTACCATATATACCATAATGACTGGGAGGAACTCTCCAAACTCCTTGATGTTATTCCAGAATCTGTTCTATCAGATGGAACCCTCCAAATAGCACTGGATGGTTCACGGCCTAGTTCATCTGTTGAATACAGTAGTGAATTTCCTGACTATGGAAAATATATATGCTCTATAGAAGAACTGGATGCTGTGTGCATGGATGTCCCAGATATAAAAATTTTTAGGTTGCCTTCTTCTTCTTTATGCTGTGCATGGTTAAGGATGCTCATAGAGCAAGAGCTTGTGAGGAAATTTATTTTCTTGAAGGAATACTGGGAAGGCACTTCAGAGATAGTATCCCTTCTGGCTCGTTCAGGATTCATTAATAACAGATACAAAATTATGTCTGAAGATGATTCCATTGAGAGTTCATCAGATCTTAATTTCTCAAATAATAGTGAAAGATTACATGCAGACACTGCACAAGCTCTGTATAAGTTACTTGTACATCATTGTGCACGATATAACTTGCCAAACCTTCTGGACCTTTATTTTGATCGTCACAAGATGGTTCTTGATGAGGACTCACTGTTTTCATTACTGGAAGCTGCAGTAAGTTTCCTTATATCCCGTGAGTGTTATTTATTTATTTACTTTCTGTATTTCATCATTTCTAATCACTGATATTAATCATAATTCTTTCCTGATAAAGTATATTGGCAACTAAACTATGCCTTCTGGTGAGTTGGTTTTCCTGTTGTTACCTGTGTGAGATGCACTTGCCTAACATATTTTACTTATACAGATTGTATATTGTTTGGTTTTATCAAATGCAAATTTGCTTATGTGCTTACATTTTCTTTGGGTGTTATGTGATGCATTGATTAGGGGGATTGTCATTGGGCAAGATGGTTGCTCTTATCTAGAAGGAAGGGCTGTGAATATGATGCTTCTTTTGCTAATACCCGTTCAATAATGTCACGTAATTTAGTTTATGATAACAACCTTCATGTTTTGGAAGTTGATGAAATAATTCGTACCATTGACGATATTGCGGAAGGAGGAGGAGAAATGGCAGCTTTAGCTACTCTAATGTATGCTCCTGCCCCAATCCAGAATTGCTTAAGTAGTGGTAGTGTAAATAGGCATAGTAGCTCCTCAGCCCAATGCACATTGGAGAACCTAAAACCTGCTCTGCAATACTTTCCTACGTTGTGGCGCACGCTTCTATCTGCATGTTTTGTACAAGAGACAACTTCCAATTTTATGGGCCTTAAAACAAATAATGGTTAGTTTTATGTCATACTTACTTTTCCTTTATTTATGTGTACGCTGTACACATTGTCATATCATTCTAGCATAATTTCTTGCTTTTTATTGACTTCAGCTTTATCAGCCTACCTAAATTGGCGGGACAATATATTCTTCTCTGCTGCACATGATACTTCACTTTTACAAATGCTGCCTTGCTGGTTTCCAAAGGCTGTTCGGCGATTGATTCAACTTTTTGTTCAGGTCTCTCTTCTCCCTTGTCACTCAATATATCTTATGCTGTTGTTTTTCCAGGTTTTATTTTTTTTTTTCAGAAAGGAATTAGTTAATATAGTGGGCTTATAATAGAACTTAATGCTGCTCTGGCTGCAACATGCTAATATTAATGTCAATGGTTAACATTAGATTTACTTTTGACAGATCTTTCACCTCTCTCTGATGCATTTTTACAGGGTTTTGGCAATGTTTAGGATGGTTGTCACATTACCTGCGTAATTTGTCATTACCAATGTTAAGTTGTCATCCTGCAATAAAATGTTTAATATGTGGCATACAGAAAGAAAAAAAAAAAAATCTTCAATGTATGTGGTAATGTTGCAATTGAATTACTAGGAATCTTGACATTGACACAATTATTTGCTATTTCCATATATTTTAAAAAATACCCATTAAATACTAAGAAATAATAATCCATTTAACAAATAAAAGGAGACATCACCATCAGCCATGTCTTTTGATGGTAGTCTTACCTGTGCTTTAAGTTACAGGTTTAGGTTTCAATCCTTAAACCTCTACGTACCAAAAATAAATAAATAAATAAATAAATAAAAGGAGACATCAAAAATTTGTTAAGTAAAAAAAAAAAAAATTATTACAGTTTCATCCATTGTTCATAAAGGGAAATTCTCCCATGCATTCACTTGTATTCAAGATGTTCTATCATCACAAGCAAGAAAAAAAGGAAAAAAGGTCTGATTTAACTGATTAAACATCAGATTTGCTTGCCCATAAAAAAAAAAAGGAAAAATGCCCTCCCTGGTCAAATATCTTTCTCTAATTAACTATACAGTCAAAACAAACCAAATTCAACCCACAATAAGAAATATGAAATTATCTGAATCAGTACTAATCCATAATTGTAATTTTGGGACTGTAAAGGGCTTTTTTGCCAAGAAATGGGCAAGATGATCTTGGCAGGGTAGCCATACTACCTGCCTCATTAACCTTATTGCCACATACTAGGTGATTTGTCAACTTGGTATTAAGCACTAATTTTCTCATCTACCAATTATGGAAACTAAATTACCTTATATTAATGACCATGAATGTCACCATTTTTACAGTGTTCTAAATGCCCTCTTAATTTCTTCTATGCATTTCATGTCTTAGGTTGTTTTTACTAACCAATAGGTATTTGCATGATTTTCAGGGTCCTCTTGGATGGGAATCACTCTCAGGTCTGCCAACCGGAGAATCATTGTTGCATAGAGACATTGAATTTTACATAAATGCTGCTGAACAGCGTGAGATCAGTGCTGTCTCCTGGGAAGCAACAATTCAAAAACATGTCCAAGAAGAACTTTACAATTCCTCACTTGTGGTATGCCTTTATTCCGGCAAACATAATATGTTTCATATTGCATCTAATGAATATCTAGCTTTCTTGATTGGTTGTTGGGGAAACTATTGCTGTACTCTTAGTTTCTCGGTGTTGTCTTCTCTGTGGATTTTTATGAATTGGAATTTGATTTGCAATTTTGTTGGGTAATGTAGATACACATGAGATTTTCTGCTTTCACCATGAAGGTTGAGAATTTTAAGGGAAATATTTGGCTTATTGATTCCTTGACTATATCCTACGAATATTTATGCCATCAGATGCTCTTCATTTCATTTCTCCTCTCTTTCTCTTTTATTTTCATTTCTAACTGTAGAATACATGGAAAAAAACTTTATTTGTTTATTTTTGGTAAATGGGATTTTTGTTTTAGCTGCTGATGTTTTGTTGACTTAGGAAACTGGACTTGGGCTTGAGCACCACTTGCATCGTGGACGTGCACTTGCAGCTTTCAATCATCTTCTTATTTCTAGAGTTGAAAAGTTGAAACTAGAAGGGAAACCCAGTTCTGCAGCTCATGGACGAACAAATATTCAATCACATGTCCAAACACTTCTTGCATCTATAACACAGAGTGAAGAGTCTATTCTTTCATCTGTAAGGCTTTGTTTCACTGTCATTTATATAATGATATGGATTTGTTCTTGAATTGAATGTGATTAACTTGAATAAAAAATGCATTAATCTTGGCCAAGTAATTCATTTTCTTTTTCTGTTACAGTATCAATACAATGACTGCTTTTATTTGACAAGTAGCATTTATGCCAAAACTATTTCCTTTATTCTAGCTGAAGAGTGGTTGTTAATATTGTGTTACTCGAATTTACAGGTCATGCCTCTTGCTATTACACATTTTGAAGATTCTGTGTTGGTGGCATCTTGCTGTTTTTTGATGGAGCTTTGCGGTTTATCAGCCAGCATGCTTCAATTAGATGTAGCTGCCTTAAGACGGATATCCTCCTTTTACAAATCCAGTGAAATTAATGAGAATTTTAGGCAACTTTCTCTTAAGGGTTCTGCATTTCATGCAATATATGATGAAGGCAGTGTAATGGAATCTCTAGCCCGTGCACTGGCTGATGAATACTTGCATCAGAATGGTGTAAGCAGTTCCAAAGAAAAGGGATATCCTCATTCGGTTGCTAATAAGCGGCCTTCTCGATCTCTCATGATTGTCCTACAGCACTTGGAGAAGGCTAGCATTCCAACACTGGTGGATGGTAAGACATGTGGCTATTGGCTCTTAACTGGAAATGGTGATGGAACTGAATTGAGATGTCAACAGAAGGCTGCAAGCCAACAATGGAGTCTAGTTACCGTCTTCTGTCAGATGCATCAGCTACCCTTGAGCACAAAATACCTTGCCATATTAGCACGAGACAATGACTGGGTATGTTTCTATTGTTAATATCTCTCCATTTTACAGGGACTTTTCTTCAACTTGAAAACTTATTGTTGCCTCCTTTGTCTAGGTTGGATTCCTTTCAGAAGCTCAAATTGGAGGATACGCCTTGGACATGGTGGTCCAAGTTGTAAGTTCCTTTTTATTAAACAAAAATACTTTTCTAGTATAGTTTTTGAACCAATATAACAATAATACTGTTTTCTGGTGAAATTTGCATCATTTTATATCCCTTGTGCTTCCATATTTCAGGCATCAAAGGAGTTCAGTAATCCCTGTCTTAAAACTCATATAGTAACTGTTTTGAAGAGCATGCAGTCCAGAAAGAAAGCTGGCTCTCCATCTTACACGGATACTACTGTGAAGGGGAATGAAAGTGGCTTCAAAGAGGAAAGCTTGTATGTCCCTGTTGAACTGTTTGGAATTTTAGCAGATTGCGAGAAGAAGAAAAATCCTGGGGAGGCTCTCTTGATGAAAGCAAAGGAATTGTCCTGGTCTATTTTGGCCATGATTGCATCATGCTTTCCAGATGTGTCTCCATTGTCCTGCTTAACAGTTTGGTTGGAGATAACAGCAGCCAGGTTACTGCATTTATCTTCTGAAGAACAATACTTCTGAGATCTTTCTACTTTGTTGGTTTTTTAAATTCAAAATGTTTTGAGTATTTGTGGCTTCCATTCTTCATTCTTGTATGATTTAGCATACTTATTCTCAAGATTTAGTGTTCTCCTTCAGAAACTTATTATATTCATAACAGCTTAGATTAGATCTGATTTGAGGATTATTTACAGGGAAACTTCATCTATCAAGGTCAATGACATAGCTTCCCAGATAGCCAATGATGTTGCAGCAGCTGTGGAAGCTACTAATTCCTTGCCTGCAGATAGCAGGGCAATTGCATTTCATTACAACCGGAGGAATCCAAAACGTAGGCAGCTTATGGAGCCTGTATCCGTGAACCTCTTGTCTGGTGCCAGTGATGGTTCAGTAGGAATATTTTCTGGTGAAGGTATCATAGCTGGGGAAGAACAAAATGTTGAACTTGGTGAGGAGATTAATGTTTCAGCTGATTCTAATGAAGGGCCAGCTTCTCTATCAAAAATGGTTGCGGTGCTTTGTGAACAACACTTGTTTCTGCCTTTGCTAAGGGCATTTGAGATGTTCCTTCCTTCGTCTTCTCTATTGACATTTATCCGGGCTCTTCAGGTTTGTGAGACATGTCATTCATCTCTACTCATTTTTAGACAAGGTGAATTCCATTTGCTGTATTATATTGATGGTGTCTGGTAGGAAAGCTAACTTTTCCTTCTGAGGCAGTTCTGTCCAATCAGTGGCAGGTACCTGCTGATACTCTTGGGAGGGGGCACTGCTTTTTCTTTGGCTGTTAAACATAGAAATCTGCATGCATTAGTAAAGGAAAAATTAGATGTGAACTGCATTACATTGAAATTTTTTAAAAAGGATGTCTCAAATTTAATTACGTAATTCATAAACTCTGTTACATTATTGTGACTTCTATAATCATTGTATGAAGTCCAGAGAATGCATGCTAACAGTTCTCATAGAAGTTCATTTCAAGTCCCATATTCTCATTTTTCCTCTTCCTCTTTTATATTTATATAACAATGTACAGAAACTTACCATTAATCCAAACCTGAATATTCAAAGGATTCCTCTGCATAAAATTAAACAATAAAATAACATATATAAAGTATGATTTTCTTCCATTTATCATGGTAACTTTTATACATATAGGTTGAAGCATGTGTGTGTGTCTGTGTAATTGTAACTGTTGTTGACAGAAAATTGTTGAATTTGTTTTACATTGATTCACCATCGATTTTAATAGAAGGGATGGCAAGAATGCTAGGTTTTAAGCAGCTACAGAAAATGGCCCAAAAAAAAAAGAAAAAAAAAAAGCAGTGACTGAAAGTGTTTCAGAAGAAAAATGATAGTTTTTCTAGGATAAAATGATTGTCTGCCATCAATATCACATCATGTTTCATCCTGCCTGTTGCCATTCATTCATTCTTGTAGTCTTGTTCATCTTATAGTGTGGTTGCTTATTAAAAAAAAAAAAATTCTTTTTGTGAAGTCTCTTGACAGCGTTAATTTGATTTTGCCTTCAGCCTGGCTTCAGGGGATCATCTTTATTTAGAAAATCTGATTCTGATCTCTTCCTCCCTTATCCCCCAACCCTTCTTTCTTTTTGGTCATTTTTCCTTAGGCATTTTCACAAATGCGCCTGTCTGAAGCTTCAGCACATCTGGGTTCCTTCTCTGCTAGAATTAAGGAAGAAGCCACACAGCTACAAACAAATTTAGGAAGAGGACACATTGGAACATCATGGATTAGTTCCACAGCCATAAAAGCTGCTGATGCTATGCTTTCAACTTGTCCATCACCTTATGAAAAAAGATGCTTACTACAACTTCTTGCTGCTACTGACTTTGGAGATGGAGGGTCAGCAGCAACATGCTATCGACGATTGTATTGGAAAATCAATCTAGCAGAACCTTCTTTGCGTAAGAATGATTTGGACCTTGGGAATGAAACTCTAGATGATGCTTCACTTTTAACAGCATTAGAAAAGAACAGGCTATGGGACCAAGCACGCAACTGGGCAAGACAGTTAGAGGCAAGTGGTGGACCTTGGAAATCTTCTGTGCACCATGTTACTGAAACCCAGGTACTATATTACACTAAAGGTCTCTGCTAGAATTTGATTTGAAATTTTTCTGATGTTTGAAGTTAATGGAACCACCAATGTTTCTAGTTTTGCAGTATTTTGTTTGCAAAATAAGCATTTAATTAAGCATTTCCTGGATATTCTTTCACAGTGTTGTAGGGTTCATACATACCTGGCATGGACAGCCTAATTTTGTGTTCTTCATCTTTAGTTAAAAAAATAAAAATAAAAATAAAACACCCATTTATCGTGCTTACGATACTGTTGTGGGTTGGGGGTATTTCTGCTCTGGCAACAACTGGAATAGTTTACATTCCTAACCTGCCAGCATCCTTTTTAGATTCAACAAATGTTGAAAGTAATGTTTTGTCAAGTCTATGCAGTTTTCACATTGGTTGTAGCTGTTTTTTTCTTCAAAATCCTTTCCAGTTGTCACTAGTTCTTTGACTATCTATGTAGCTTCATATTAATCTCTATATCTTTTTCTTGGCTGCCATCTTCACTAAGCATTTTTAGTGGTACTGACCTTAAACTTTCTTTCTTCCCTCAGGCTGAATCCATGGTAGCAGAGTGGAAAGAGTTCCTCTGGGATGTCCCAGAAGAGAGAATTGCTTTATGGGGCCACTGCCAAACGCTGTTCATCAGATATTCCTTTCCCGCTTTACAGGTATGCTTGTATTGGATAGCAACAGGACTAGAATTTTTTTTTCTTTTTTTACCTGGCAACTTCTTACTTACATCTTGATATAATCTGCTGTTTTAAACTTTTAATGGCTTGCAGGCAGGATTGTTTTTCCTTAAGCATGCAGAAGCAGTCGAGAAAGATCTTCCAGCAAGGGAGCTTCATGAATTGTTGCTGCTTTCTCTTCAGTGGTTAAGTGGGATGATAACCCAGTCCAATCCGTAAGTGAATTCCCCCAAATTCAAATGGCTACTCTGCATTGGTAATGCTTGAGCATCTTTCTTAACTTTTTTAATGATTTCTCAGAGTTTATCCATTGAATCTTCTGCGAGAAATTGAGACTAGAGTATGGCTCTTTGTAGTGGAGTCAGAAGCTCAAATAAATAGTGAAAGAGATTCAAGTATAATCAGTTCCAGGCGAGACATCATCATTGGAAATACATCCAGTATTATTGATCGGACTGCTAACCTAATATCAAAGATGGACAATCATATCAATGCAACAAGGAATAGAACCAATGAGAAATATGATGCTAGGGAAAACAACCAGGCACATTACAGGAACCAAGTATCAGACTCCAGTTCTTCGACCATGACAACAGGAGGCATGAAGACAAAACGGAGGGCCAAAGGCTATTTGCCCTCAAGACGGCCATTAGCAGACACAGTGGATAAAGTCACTGATTCTGAAGATGGTTCCTATATTTCCAATCCTCCCAACTTAAAGAATGACCTACAGTTGCAAGATGAAAGCTTTAAAATTGAAATATCTTTTTCCAAGTGGGAGGAAAGGATTAATCCTGCAGAGCTGGAAAGTGCTGTCCTATCCTTACTGGAGTTTGGACAAATAACAGCTGCCAAGCAACTTCAACAGAAGCTGTCTCCAGGAAAGAGACCTTTTGAATTCAAACTTGTGGATGCTGCTTTAAAGCTTGCAGCAATGTCTACTCCTAGCAATGAAGTTCCTATCTCAATGCTTGACGAGGATTTATTCTCCATCATTCAGTCGTACAATCTATTTATTGACCAGCATAGATTCTACCCACTGCAGGTACTTGTCCTGATCTTTCTAGCTTCTCCCATCTCCAATTTTCTTGATGGATGTGAAATCAACTTGTTTTGGACATATCAGTGGACTTATTGTTCTATAGGTGGCTTTATTGAGGGACTTTTAGTAGTTTTGTGCTTTCTTTTCCAGTTGCCTATTCCTCCACGGTTCCATTCTTGACATGCTTATGACTCCTATATGTTTAATGTGAAAGGTCTTGGAGAGTTTAGCAACCATTTTTGCTGAAGGTGGTGGTCGTGGAATATGTAAGAGAATAATATCAGTTGTAAAGGCTGCAAACGTATTGGGTCTTCCGTTTTCAGAGGCATTTGACAAGCAGCCAATTGAATTATTGCAGCTACTGTCACTTAAGGCGCAAGAGTCTTTTGAGGAAGCAAAACTTATTGTGCAAACCCATGTAGTGCCAGCTACTAGCTTTGCCCAAATTCTTGCAGAATCCTTTTTGAAGGTATGCTTGTGTACTCCATTTATTGTTCATTTTAACATTGTTGCTTACACCAGTGTTCAAGACTTTTCGTATCTGCGGTTATGGTTAGAAAAACTACAACCATGTGTCATAAAAGTTTATTCTGTCGAATCCAGACCTAGAGATGGGATGAGAAACCTAAGGCCTGGATTTTTCTGTTCTCTTCTATGTTCTACTTTCTGTTGGACGGAAAATCTCAGGGAGACATGTTTTTGTTAACAGTGCTGAAGTATTACTTATGTTATACTTCCATCTGGCTTGTTGATTTCACACTCCATGTTTGAGCTCCAGGGTTTACTGGCGGCACATCGTGGGGGATATATGGATTCTCAAAAGGAGGAAGGACCAGCACCTTTATTGTGGAGATTTTCAGACTTCTTTAAGTGGGCTGAGCTTTGCCCTTCTGAACCAGAAATTGGCCATGCATTGATGCGTTTAGTGATCACAGGACAAGAAATACCACATGCCTGTGAGGTATTTTCTTTTGGAGCAATAATTTTATTTATTTAGCTCATTTTCTGGGGAGAAAAATATCAAGATCTAGAAATTGTCTGAAAGAAATTGGCAAAAATTATGATGAGTCAAATCTTGGCGTTTGATCAAAGATATCAAATGACAGCCATGTCTTGAAGATGAATTCCAAGTTTATTTAGTTAGCATTTGTGGAGTTTAGTATGCAAATATATTTTTCATTAATACTTATTTGTAGGTTGGTATTATCTTTAATTATTTTAACTCATAATTCTCTATTACATTATAATTTTTTCATGTGAAGTCAAAGCATTCTATTGTTTCCTTCTCTATTGTCACTATGCTTTGTTGTGTGAAAACCTCTCTTTTCTGAGAAAAAAAAATTGTGTTCTCAGGTTGAGCTTCTTATTTTGTCCCACCACTTCTACAAATCATCTTCCTGCCTTGATGGAGTTGATGTTCTAGTAGCCCTTGCTGCAACCAGGGTTGAAGCTTATGTGTCTGAGGGTGATTTTCCATGTTTAGCTCGTCTTATAACTGGAGTTGGGAACTTCCATGCCCTTAATTTCATCCTTGGTATTCTTATAGAAAATGGTCAGCTGGATCTACTTCTTCAGAAGTATTCCACTGCTGCAGACATAAACACTGGCACTGCTGAGATGGTTAGACGATTTCGGATGGCTGTTCTGACATCATTGAAGCATTTTAATCCCAAAGATATAGATGCATTTGCTATGGTTGGTATTTGCATCCTCAACTCCATGCTTTTATGTTTGGAAAATGTCTCTAAGTTCATTAATCAAAAATAGGATTAACTAGTTAAAGTTTGTATTTATGTGGATTAGTGTGGAAGATTTATGCAAGAAAAATCTAACTGTTATTCATATAGATAGTTTCAGAGTGCATGTAGACTTTACTGCTTTGTTTTCTTTTCACCAGCCTTGATCATACATATTGTTGGTGCTAAAAGCCTGGTTCTCATTATTTTTATTCAAGGCTTGCCTGTATATATTATCTGAACTGACATTACCAATAGTTTGATCCTTTTAACGTAAATTTGAATTCAAAATTGAATTAGTTTTCAAAGTTAAATCATATTTTGTCAACCAATATCAAGCCTACAAACATTTTATACTAGTAGGGATTGTTGGATATTTGGTTTGGAAATCAAAGTTCCGGAGCAATCAAAACCAAATATCAAAGGTAGTTTAAAACATTGGTATTCTAGGCTTGAAATTGGCTGACAAATTGAGTACGGGTGTCAACACATATAGAACTGTTTGGTTCTCTTCCATCAGGCTTATTGTCATTTATTTTCATATTCATATTCTTTTTTTCTACAGATCTATAACCACTTTGACATGAAGCATGAAACAGCCGCTCTGCTAGAGTCACAAGCACAACAATCTTGCCAGCAGTGGTTTCAACGGCATGACAGATACCAGAATGAAGATCTTTTAGATGCCATGCGCTATTTCATTGAAGCTGCTGAAGTTCACTCCTCTATTGATGCTGGCACCAAAACACGCCGAGCTTGTGCCCAGGCTTCCCTTGTCTCACTTCAAATAAGAATGCCGGATTATAAGTGGCTCAATCTATCTGATACAAATGCCAGGCGAGCACTAGTTGAGCAATCACGTTTCCAGGAGGCACTCATTGTTGCTGAAGCTTATGGTCTTAATCAGCCAGGTGAGTGGGCACTTGTTCTTTGGTTTCAGATGCTCAATCCAGAGCTGACAGAAGAATTTGTCCATGAATTTGTGGCCGTGCTTCCCCTCCACCAATCTATGCTTGCAGACTTGGCAAAATTTTATAAGGCTGAGATAACAGCCAGAGTAGACCAGTCTCAATTCTCACTATGGCTTACTGTTGGTGGAGGATTGCCAGCAGATTGGGCGAGGTATCTGTTTAGGTCATTTAGGTGCCTGTTGAAAAGGACTAGGGACCTAAAGTTTCGAATGCATCTGGCTATGGGAGCTCCTGGGTTTGGTGATGTTGCGAATGCTTGTATGAAAGCATTGGATAAGTACCCTGACAATGCTGGGCCGCTTGTATTGAGAAAAGGACATGGAGGGGCTTACCTCCCACTTATGTGAATATGATGCTTGGTAGCCAGGACCCAATCATGGCTCTAAGTCTGATGGTGGAGTAAAAATGACAAGGTTGGATTGCCATGCTAGGATGCTCCTAAAGATGATAAGTTAAAGTGAATGTGAGAATTGTGATAGTCTTCGATTAATCGAAGAGATTTAATGGTTCCTTTTTTTGGTTATATACTTCATACCGGACAAGCTGGACTAGCTAGGGAGCAGAGAAAGAGTTGCTTGAAAGAGTTTATTGAGATTAGGTCTTAGAGCTAGCAGGATCTTGTAAAATTGGTTTGGTCATGATGGTTTCTTTTCAATATTTTCCTTTTTGGAATATTTTTTTAGCTTAAAGATTAGGATAGATAGGCTGTTGTTTTTAGTGGATGAACGTCGGGAGGGTCAAAATGATTTTTGTAAGAAATGTACAGCTTGTTCATTCATTCTTCAATTCATAGTTCGTTTTGTGATGGTTGCAGTAGTGTTCGATCGGGAATTCACTCTTCTTCTTGTTCCTTCTGAGGACATTTAGGAGGCCAAACTGGCTCTATTTTTGTAATGGTTAAGCACACTATCTCGAAGTGCCAAAAGAAGTTTTGATCATTCCCCTCCATAATAAGGTGAATGGCATTTACATCTGACCTATTTATCACATGCTGTTTGGGTTGGATTGAACTACGTTTAATACAGGTTAGTTTTTCCGGTATTATCAATCAAAATTTTCAAATTTCCTTGGTTATCATGAATCGAACTTGAAAGGAAGTATGATTCAATTTAGTAAGTTTCATATAAGCCTCATTCATCAGAACTAGAGGGATTGATATTTGATACAGAACCATTTAAAAAGATATCAATTGACAGCAGCTGCCGAATTTTACTTTGCAGTTTTCACAGATTGTAAAAGGAATTGTAGAAACATATGGAAAAATTATTCAGATAGATGAAACAAGGAAAAAAAAGAAAAAAAAAGAAAAGCCTAATGATGCCCAGTTTGTTCTAATCATGTTTTCCATTTAGGGGCTTAGGGCGTCTCTCAGCAAGTAACCGCTTTGTGCTTTCCAGAACGCCAAAAAAGATTGAACCGCCAATGCCTATCCACATTACCCTTGGCCCAATGCCCTGCAGCAAAAGCATAGAATGTAACATTTTTTGAGTTGAGGTCAAGTTTCACATCTTTTGCTAATATATTCTTTTTAACATGCAAAACGTGGGAAGCATTGATGCTTCCATAACATGATGCAAAAGAAAAGAGGAAACATCTGAGACTCATACCTTCAAAAGAGCTGAAGGTCCTTCCTCCCTAACAATTGTTTGAACACAGTCAAAGATCCCCTTGTACTGGTTAGCCGATCCCTAAAACAAAAAGGCACTCATATAACCTTGATGGCATGCTTAAACCATTAGAAGAAAGGGAAACATATAAAAGAAAAATATGCATACCTGAACCATTAATCTTGTCTTAACAACATCAAGGGGAGTAGTTATAGCTCCAGTCAATGCACCTATAAAGACATCCCATACAAATATTCTGATTAAACAGTTATAACTGGACAAGAGTATTATGACTTACTAAGCCCTCGGTATTACAGTATTACACACAACAAAGAATAAGGCTAATTTGGTGCAGGCTAGACATGGAGGGACAACAGCAAATATTAAGAGGATAAATTGATAATCAAACATGAAAGTAGAATGAAAATTACAGGATTTTGCAACTGAAGGATTGTAGACTTGAATATCAGTAACATCCACAGTATGTAAACATACCAGCAAAAGCACCAATTACAGCATTCTCAGGATCATTCAGATCTCTCCGTGCCTGTCAGAAGGATGAAAGAAAGAAGTGAATATATTGATTTCACCTACAGTTATTTTCTAAAGAATTAGTATAAAGCATTTCAGTAGCTGTCATTAACACTGGTCAATGCATAGAAAATATCAGAACAAATGACAACTTATTTATCAGTTTCACAGAGTGAACTGTTGATTGAAAAAAGTTCATGGGGTGAACCATGAGGTTAGTATCAAACAGCAAAGTATTTTAGGAACATAAATATCAAAGAAAAACAAGTATTATGAAATGAGGAGCTTACTGCTGCCTTGTAACCAATCCGGAGTTGCTCGTAGATGCAAAATTGAATGGCATCAAATGGCAAATCTCGCAGTAGAAAGGATCCATAACCCTAAACCCCCAAGGAGGAAAGTCAAGTTGCAGGCACAATAATTTGCAGTTTCCGAAAACTGCCTCTCACAAATAAAAGAGAGACAAATACACAACAACAGTGATAGACTTCTGGAAAAAGCCTTTTCAAACTACCACTGTGAGAACAAGATGAGATTCATAAAATTTTCAATATTTTAATGGGATCCAGAGAGTGGGAAGTTTTGATTGCATATTATTGTACAGGGAAAGAGGAGAAATGACAGCATCACATACTGCATAAAGACCCTTAAATCCCTCCTTTGATGCAATAAGGCGCACAGCATCAGAAGGGGAGGAGAACTGGCCAGTCTGCATCCTTTGTTTCACAACCTAATTTATTAGTAGGGAAAAAGGAAATGAGAACAGGGGTAATAAGGCATTTTGAAAATAAAGGAAAAAAAGTTGATCAAAGTCTACCTCTGTTGGAACACGAATTAGTGAAGCAGCAACTCCTCCTATGGCACCTGCAGTCTGCATGAAAATCACAACCTTAATAAAACATAAGGGCCAAAGGCTAGTCTTGACTTATACAAAACAGCAAAAATGATTAAGGGGTTTGCTGGACCGACTCATCAGTTCAATTGATGTTTCCGAGTAGATTATTCCAACATTGCATACAAAGGCATAGCTTATTCAGTTAAAGATGTGTAATTTAATCATAAAAGTGTCAAACATAATGTGCATATCTTGGCAGAAGGAATTGAAGAATCTCACCAAGTGAGCGAAAGCACTAAGGTTCTCGGGAAACATCTTCAATAGTTTTTGTTTTGTAGGTTCATAGACACCAACAAATAAGGCAGAGGCCCTGTGGATTGAAAAAAATGTTGCCAATGAATTGGAATCCCCAAGAAAAAGAATGTATATCAATAAGACATTTTAAGCATAATCACAAAAAGAACACAAGAAAAAATGAAGGAGCTTACAACCATTAAGAAACTACAAACACCTAAAAGGTATAAGGCATAGAACCAGAATCCCGTTGAAAAGAGAACCTGATTAGACTTGGACAACGTAACATTAGAGAAATAACTAAAGAAAGGTAAAAAATGATTTCAAATAAAGAATGCAAACTGTACTAATTCTCAATTACCCAGAATCATTAGAGGCAACACATGAAGAGAAGCCTCCTAGACTCCTATAGTAATATGATTCTGAGACAAAATGTGCAACTGATGCAATTTAAATGTACTCACGGTAGAACACCAGCAAGATTCCCAGCCAATCCAGAATAAAGGCCCTTCAAAACTATTTTGCCTCCACCATGAGCTGCCTACAAATAAACAAATATAAATCTCAGAAACAGAAAGAGCTGCTGACACATATAACTTCTATGGCAGAAGTTACGTTATAATCAAGCACTGGATATAGATTTATGTTTTCTTTCGACTTTATATAACTGAAGTAAAATCATCTTAATCTCGAACAAAGGAACATAGCTGCATGTTGACCTGCCTGCAGTCTTGTCTTTATCGTATCAATTGGATATAAAGCTGTTTCAACCACAACTCCAGCTGTGCCTCCTGCTATGAATCCCTCTGTAAAGATTTTCAGACTAATCAGAATACTGCAAAATTCAGGTTAGCCACTCTGGTGTTTAATGAAATCAATATTTATAAGGGAAAAAAAAAGTCCAACTGCCAGATGACTTTTTTCTTGTTTTAAGGATTAGGGGGAAAAAGTCATAAATTTTGTAAAACCTTGCCTGTTGACATTATCATCCATTTAAGAGCAACCACACCTTCCTTTGTGCTACCAGAAAACTAATTATAATGAATGGCAAATAAGCAATAGGAACATTACGTTCCCTTTACCAAAATATGTATCAGTGAATACCAAATTACTAGTGCAGAACTCCAGGTTGTCTTAAGCTCGGGCAAAAGGAAAGGACACAGGTTATTAAAATAGACTAGTTTCCTAGGTGGGGAGAAGATACAAAACAAAACACATCAGATAAGTATTATTTTCAATGGTTAACAAATGTGTGCAGAAAAACTTTCATGTATAGTTATGAAATGGAAAACTTCTAGAATTATGATAACTTCCATAATAGTTTTCTATCTCTTTTTGACCAAACTATAGTATTTCATATACAAATTTATATTTTCTCATGAGATATATATCCCTATCGAATTTCAACATTAGTCCATCTTATCCATTGGAACCTAAAAAGTGATGGTTCCACATACCAAATAAGATCCGGAAGAAATCAAAAGGTTTTTCCTCTCTCATATTGACTGATGCAAAGTTTTTTCTTGCTTCCAGCTGTGTTTTTTGCATCTTCCTACTAGATCCATCTGCAAAACCATACACATAAGCATAAGAAGATGACAACAGCCCAAAAAAAAAAAATATGAATTGAAGTGATGCAGCGAAAATATTTTTGGTGTCATGTACTGGTAGCTAAAATCAGTCCCTCAATAACATATGAACATATGCAGATTTCTTAACAGCAATATCTGGTCAAATCTTGCACCATTCTAAAATCCCAGACCAGATACACTCTCCAGAGTCGCTTTATAAATGCACAATATTTTTTGGCTAGCGACACTATACTCTTTCTTGAAAGCAAAACATCGGGTGACATAGTCACAAAAACAACTATTACACTCCGTACAAGATCATTAGAGCTATGTCATCAAACTTGAACCAATTTCCGCACTGCCTAAACCAGAAAAAGAAAAAAGACTTCACAACAGAAAACGCACATTGAAATGAAACATTGAAAGGAAGATTCCCCCTTTTGATAAAGTGGATTACCTGGAGAGGCTACTGAAGAGCTTGTGGTGTCGACTGCTAGAGTTAAAGGACCCATCAAAGGAACAACACTGCCCAGCTCCTCAGTCAACTGAATTCGATTGAAAAACATATATTAATCAATAAGAGAATGAAAAGATTGCAACTTTGAACTCGGGTCTGACAAAAGTTTCTACAAATTGTGGGAAAAATTGACTGGGTGAAAACAAAGTAAGCAAAATATATCAGCTCTTCATGTTTGTGGGTTTACTTGATTGTTTACATATCATTAGTAAATTCATCTCAAAATATGTATATGGAGACTGCGGAGAGACAAAGATAGAGAGTACCAGTTTGGAAGGCAGCAATTCCAGAGACTAGGGAAGCGACGTTGGATTGCAAAAGCGATACTGCGATAGGCTACAATTGCGTAATTATTGTTTAGTAAATTGCAAAATTCTCCTAACGCATAACATAATCGCAATTATATTATGCAGATAAGGATACCGATTTTTTCTAGGATATAAATTTATTTTTTTCTAAATCAAGTCGTCATCTTTAAATTTTTTAAATGGAAAAGCATTTTACCCGTTCGAAAGGTGTACTTTTTTTTCTAAATAAAAATATAAATTTTGAGATTTTTATTTAAGATTTCAGTAAATATGATTTACATATGATATTTTAGACTTAATGATATTAACCACATTAAAAAAAATATGCACTTCCCCATCTCCCTAGGCTTGGGTTCAATTTTCCATGAATTTGGGTTCGATTCCACCGCCGCTTGTAAACATGTTTATAGAAAAAATAAAAAATATATATAGTAAGTATGATTCATGATATTCTTTATATAATTTGTTAAATAATTGATGATCTATTCATAGTGTATTTTTTTTTTCTCTTCTTTTGCTTTCCTTCAGTTCAGCACTTTTAAAAAAAATTAAAAGGTGATCACTTAATTTAGAAATACAGGATACTCTTTGTAAACTTAAATAAAAAAAAAATAAAGTTATTATCTTTATCTTTACATTTACTTGTAATTAAATACTTTGAATTTTTTTGAACCTTACATATAGTGGAAGCAATACTGTTTGTCATCCACTCCATCAAAATGTGAGGGATGTTATCCCTATTTTCCTTCTTCATTCTCTAAAAATTATAGTTTTTCAAAAAAATACTTCTATTTTATTTCTTTGCAAGTACGTCCTCAAGACAGGACCAAATCTTATACCGTGTAGCTCCAAGGGGAGGACTTTTTTTTTTCCCCCCTTTTTACTTGAATGGGAGGTAGCCAGGTAAGTTGATAAAGGAAAAAAGAAAATATATCTTTTCAATCTATTAGCCAAAATTAAACTAAAAAAAAAAAAACCAAGTAATTACAAAAGTAATTTAATTATAATTTTTTTTAACACAAATAAAAGATTTCAAGTTCTATTTTTGAATTATGAGTATATAAGTTGAGTAAATAAAACTATTTTGTTTTAACTTGAACCTAAAACGCAACACTACTTCCCAAGAAGAAGCATGGCCATTAGGCTATATGCGCGGATGACATTGACATTGTCAAAGCATCAAAATGAAGCTAGAATAATTAAAAAACTAATTAAGCCAAGCTCATTGTTGCAGAAGTTAGACTTTCCTACTTTGCAGCTAGTTGTGGTGTAGTGCCCTTCATTGTAGCTCAAGTTGTAGCCAACTATAGAAGAAGAAAGAGAATTCTAAAATTAGAAAACAGTTAGGTCACTGAATCAACTCTTCCACATCCTTTTTTTAGCAGTTTATCTCACACCAAATTCTTCCCCTTCTCATTCCGTCACTAACACACTACCGAATTACTACCCTCCACTCTCTCTCTTCTCTAAATTCACGTTTTGCCATCAAACATCCGTTTTCTAATTCCTTTTAACATACCTTCCATTTTGGACATCTATTGTGGCAGAACTGCCCCAAGCCATGGCTCCAGCCAGAGTCCTAGGGACCTGGTTCATGATATTGGTTCAAGCCACACTCATTATTGCTCAAGGGATACCGGACGATATAGGCATCAATTGGGGTACCATTTCGTCGCACCCATTGAACCCACACATTGTTGTTGGCATGCTCAAAGACAATGGCATAAAAAAGGTTAAGCTTTTCGACGCCAATTCTTGGACTCTCAATTCCTTAGCCAACACAAACATTGAGATAATTGTAGGCATTCCCAACAATAAACTCCAAACTTTAGCCGACGATTATGAAACCGCCAAGGATTGGGTCAAAGAAAACATCACTGAATATGTTCGTGGCGGAAAAGTTAATATCAAGTAAGAATTCCTGATTCAACATTTCAGCAAAAGATTTAATCAAACAAAACTTCTACGCAAGTTACAGCTGAACTAACGATTTACATTACTTTTTGTGTTGTTTTAGGTATGTAGCTGTTGGAAATGAACCATTTCTGCGTACGTACAACGGAACGTACGTTCATCCAACATTTGCTGCATTGAAGAATGTTCAGAGGGCTCTCAACGAGGCAGGCGTCGGGGATAAGATCAAGGTGACGTCTCCTCTCAATGCAGACGTTTATGATTCTGCTTCAGGAATTCCATCTGATGGAGAGTTTCGTAGTGACATAAAGGATCTCATGGTCCAAATCGTGCAATATTTCAAACAAAATGGCTCTCCTTTCCTCGTCAACATCTACCCTTTCCTTAGCCTCTACGAAAACCCCAATTTTCCAGAAGAGTTTGCATTTTTTGGCGACGCAGCCAACCCCCTCTACGATAAGGGAATCAAATACACCAATGTTTTTGATGCAAACTTCGATACCCTTGTTTGCTCGCTGAAAAAGGCCGGGACCCCTGACTTGAAAATCATTGTCGGCGAAGTTGGATGGCCAACAGACGGCGACAAATCCGCCAACAACGACAATGCCAAGAAATTCTACGACGGTTTTTTCAAAAAAGTGGCTAATAACAGTGGAACACCACTTCGACCCGGAAAATTGGAGATTTACCTGTTCGGCCTTTTAGACGAGGACATGAAGAGTATCCAGCCGGGATTCTTCGAGAGACACTGGGGAATTTTCCGATGGGACGGAACACCCAAATTCCCGATCGATATTTCAGGGACGGGAAAGGACCAAATGTTGGTGGGTGCAAAAGGGGTTCAATACCTGCACAGACAATGGTGCATATACAACATGGATGCTCAGAATCCGGATGGAATTGCGCCTCAAATTAGTTATGCCTGTACTTACGCCGATTGCTCATCCTTGACGCCGGGATCGTCGTGTGAGAACTTGGATAAATATGCAAGAGCTTCATATGCGTTTAACATGTACTACCAAATGCAGGACCAAAATGAAAGAGCTTGTGATTTTGGGAATTTGGCCATGGTGGTAAGGGATTCGGATCCGTCGACTAAGAGTTGCTCTTTTCCAATTCAGATTGTGAGTGCCGGGATGAAGGGCGGGGTGATGAAGGGAGTAATGGTCCTGGCAGGGGTTTTGTTGGGGTTGTGTTTTACGTAGAAAAAATATATATTCCCGAAAATAAATTTGACACTAATGAATTTTTATTTTAGATTGCATAATGAGTAAAAATTTACTTTTATCTCCTTATTTATTGCATATATCTAAGAGTTGAATGCATAATATTTTATTTTTATTTAAAAAAATTCTCATTAATCTATTTAATTACATTAATTTTATACCATATACATCAGTAAATGTTATTACATAAATTTAAGCTTAAGGTTTAGTAACTATCAAAGTAAAGCATGAATAACCCCGTAAAAATTGATCTGTTTGAGTTTTCTTTGCTTTGGAGGAGATTCTTGCTTTTCAAATTGAGGTAATTTCTTGTATACATATACCTTAATTTGGTGAGGATGAACAATATTTGACAAGTTGTATAAAAAAGTTAATAACGTGAAAGTATAAGGATCATATTTGGTTGAACTTGAATGAAATAGTTATTCTTTAGTTGTATTATTTTTCATTCCTAGCCTCTATGCTCGACAAGTGGAACAATTGCTTTAGTTTAAAGAAAAAAAAGACATACTCCCTCTATAATTAAAAATTTAATGCAGCATGTAAATATAATTAAATTTTTTTCTAATAAAGTAAAATTATTAAATAAGAACTACTATATATAGAAATAGAAAAATAAAAATTAGAAAATTTTAATACTAAAAATGTTAGGGTAATTTGATTTTAGTCATGACTTAAGGAAGGTTTACAGTATATCTTACTTATCATATATTTTTAATTAGACATCTTGATATTTTTAATGTCAAGATATCTTAAATTTTTGCATCCTCATATTAAAAAAATTTCAATTGACATGCATTTCTTATATTAAATTTTCTCCTAAATTTTTTGCTTAGAAATAAGAAAACTTATTTATATTGTCATTCACAATTCATTTGTTTAGGACTACTTCTATTGTTGAATGGAGGAAGTAATCTATTCAAATAGCACTATGGATGCTACTCAAAGAATGAAAGCGTACTTAAAAGTATTGGGATCCAATTGAATCAAATTAAAAGTCGTGATCTGAAATAAAGCACACCTTAAAGTTAGGCAGTAGTATAAGTGAACTCTACCCTTTCTGAAGCAACCCAAGCCCAAAACTTTAGTAGCCTATTAGGCCCAAATCCTTTTTTCGTTTTTCCGTTTTACTGTTTTCGACTTCCCCTCCGTTTCTCTTCTCTTTTAAACCCTCGAGCTTCAAGTTGTGTAGGTTTTTCCGGTTTACCCCCGCCCTTTCTTTCCCTCTTATTTTTGTTTTTTTCTTCTTCCTCCACATCGGACGTTTTCCATCGCCTACACCAGTACACTGCTCTTCTTTTTCCTTCCGCTGGATTTCTTGCGGACTCTGGTTATGGCGGTTTCCGTTACTCAAGACTAAAGGAAGCTGCTTTTGCAAAATTGCATCAGGACTTCAGGAGTGGTCTGGGCAATCATTCACTGCGCCTTCAATAGCAGTGTCAAGTGTTAACTATAGAAATCCCCGTGTAGTTTTTAGACACATTTTGTTGTTGAACGCTGGAAGGCAGTGTGTCTGATCAAAGTATTGTGAAGGAAGAGAGTTTTGGAAATCACTGAAATGGCTAACAGCAAATACGAGTACGTGAAGTCATTTGAAGTTGAAGACGAGGTGACGCCGCCCAATATCATTGTTGTTCGAATTGAGGGCAGGGACTTCGAAAGGTAAGTATCTGTTTTTTTTTTTTTTTTTTTTTTTTGCTGCATTGTGCGCAGTAGAATTCTGATCTCCTTAACTTGAGATCATCTGGGTTTGTTTCGTTAGAGATGCTCATATGTTTTAGTTTTTGGGTGATTGCACAAATTTGGGAATTTTGTTTTGTTTATTGTGCTTTCAGCTATGAATGAGATTTCTATTTCATGGGTCTGAGTCTTGCATATGAATGTAACGCAGCTTGATTATCATCTTGAATGGTCTAAAAGTGGCGTTGTATTAGGTGAAATGTTAGATTCAATGTTCTTTTTTCCTTTGTAGGAGAAAAAAGAAAGAGAGGGGAGGGACATAAAAAGACAAAAAAGGTATTTTTCATCATCTATACTCTGATTGTGCTTACTCTCCATCTTTTTGTAGATTTTCTGCAGTTCATGAGTTTGAGAAACCCAATGATGAGAAAGCCGTAAAATTGATGAACTCCTGTGCAACTTCTGTATTAGAAGAGTATCCAGATATTGTTTTTGCATATGGATACGGCCATGAGTACAGGTAGTTTTATTTTTTAGTCAGAACTTATCATGACTTGGTGTGACTTTTGAGGACTAGGTTTAATGCGTTTTTAAAAAAAATTTATTTTACAGTTTTGTTTTCAAGAAGACATCCAAGTTCTACCAGAGGCGAAGCAGGTATTATTCTGCACTAATAGTATTTAGGACTGAGTTGATGCATCCACAAGATTGTAACAACTTGAATTTATGTAAGAATCACAATCTTTCAGAAATAAAACATTTCAAATTAGTTATAATTTAATAAGTCAAAAGGGAAGGATTGCTGCATTATATAAAATTTATTGTGAAAAAGAAAATTGCAATGATCATTTGGTGTTGCAGGCCTGTGTACTCTTTTTGATTCTTGTAGGTGCATCTTGAAAAACGTCACATTGTCAAATACATATGTTAATAAGTAAACTCCTGAGGTTTGATGTTGCCCATTTTCTTGGTTGTCAACTTGAGAATAATAAATACCATAAAAAACTAGATGATATAAGAATCTTTGATCCTTGGCTGGCAGAAATTGGACTCCACCTGATAGCATGGCCTTCATCCTATAAGGTTGTTTACTTGTAGGCTTCCACGTTGGTTGTCATTACAATAAATTTGTTCTCTTCATTTGGTTGAAATGTCGGCTAATTACTTGCTTTTTTGAAACTTCACGTGCAGCAAGATACTGTCCCTCATTGTATCATTCTTTTCTTCTGTCTATGCCACTAAATGGCAAGATTTCTTTCCCCATCAGGAGTTGAAATATCCCCCTTCATTTCATTCACGGATTATATGCTGTGCAGCAACAGAGGTTCTTCAGACATATCTTGCATGGAGACAAAATGATTGTAAGTTATAACCATGTCATATCAAACAAACCATTTTGAACCTTTTAAGTATAGCCATGGATGAACAAATTAAAGAAAAAAGAACAAAAAGAAGAAGAAGAAACATAGTGGATGTTTTATTTACATGTATATATGCTCTTTACTCATCTATAAAATAAAATAAATGTAAAATAAAGAAAGACGCTTACACAAAATTCTGATAGAATTTAGGTTCCTATGCGTATTATATCTTCAATAATTAATAGGTTTCTAATTGAAGCAAGTTTTTCTGAAAAGTTAGAAGGAGTCTTGTTATTTGCATTAATTAAAAATATGTTCATCTTCAATTCTGGTTTTTCAGGCCATGTTCGTAACCAGTATAATACTTGTTTCTGGATGCTGGTTGGAAAAGGTGGGAAGACAGAAAGGGAAGCAGAAGACATCTTAAAGGTGTGAGTGGGCATAATTATGTGTATCATTGTTTATTCACATTTTTAAGTATGCATGTTATACACGTTTAATGTTTAATAGTGTGGCTGTAAATGCTAATTATTATTTTCTCTAAAATTGGTTTATGTTTTTTTATAATATAATATTAAAATTAGTTTATTGTATGACCCCCCTTCTCTCTCCTCTGACATGCATATCATTCCCTTAAGTTAAATGGCATCAGTTGGATGCCAGTTACCCCCTCCTCCTTTCATACTCTACTTTTTGGTTTTCTGCACTGGTTCACTCAGTATTGAGATCATTCATGGCTGAGTTTTCTTAATGGAAGATATCCAGAGTTCATTTCTTCCCTTACTTTCTATTCTGCAGGATGCTCAAAAACAAGATAGAAATGAACTTCTTTTTCAACAGTTTGGAATCAACTACAAAAATGGAGCTGAAATGTTTCGTCAGGGATCTTGTATTCTCAAGAAGAAGGTTACTGCCCATCTAATTTATAAAATCTACTGATCTAATTCTCATTTCATTAATAAAATCTACTGATCTTACATTCTAAAAGGTGAATGCTTCATTTCCAGGAGGTTTTACCTTATTATTTGTGGTTTGATGTTTTATGGGAGATGTATTTGAGAATCTATCAGAATTTCTCACTTGCAATTTGAAAGGACTGGCATCACCTTGCATGTATTGTTTGGACACTTTGTGATGAAATGAAACCCAAGAGAAAAAATTACCTTGTTAAACTTAAATTTATGGTAAGATATTTTTTATATGATATGGACAACTCTAGAAGGATCGAATCTTAGCCTTGGGAGGAAATAGCTGTCTGATGTGTGGGTATGTCATTTAAGTCAATTATATTCCCTCTTCTACATTTAAGGATTAGTATTTATTTCACTTTTGTTTTTTTTTTTTTTTGTGCATGTTTTAGTCACTTGTCCAGTATACTTTGATAATTTTGTAAGGTCTTTCTTTCTGTTGTAACATGGGCGACAATACACAGTTTATCCACCTAAGTTTTGGTGGATTACAGATTTTTCTTTTCTTTTCCTTTTTTTTATAAAGAGTCTAAATGTGATTTAGATTTATTTATCACATTTCACGCCGTGTCAAGTTGGCAATCACTTAGATTGTTGAAACTTTGGTGGTATTTGTCTAATAGAAACGATAAAGTTGCTGTGGAATATTCATCTATCATGGTTTAAAATCCAAAATTTGGCATTTTGTTATATCATGGGGGTTGAAAAACTCAATATTACTATAGAGGCCAATGTTTCACAACAAATTTAGGAAGAGATGATGCATTGGTGCACACGAATCTTATGTTGGGATCTTATCTGAATTATTTACTCATATCTAAGCTATGCTTCAGTTTAGACACATTTTTACATACTGTAAATGATCTTTAGAATTTTAAGTCGGAAACTAGATTTATGGTCAAAGTTTTATATTGTTGGCTGCTCCACTATTTGAGCTTGCCCCTTACATTCTGAACTGAGATTTAATATGTAGCTTTTGATTTGCTGAATTCTTGTGACTACCATCATTTGTTTTTTGAGAAAATTATTGCCGTCAATAGATTGGGCTTTCTATATATAAGTTTATGTAACCAATTTACATACTGCAAGTGGTCAGAACTGAAATTGCTTTTCCTCATGGTTTTTTCCCTGTTTCAAAAATCAATTTTGAATGTTGTGAGTTTGATTTCATCGTTCATATGAATCTCTGTTATCCAATTCTGACGTTGCAAGTAAGACTGGCAGTTTACATTGTTGTGAGTTGCAATGTGGAGAAATAGGATAAATTCATAATCAGTGATTTTAGTAAGAAATCTTATGGTAACAGAAATAAGGACAGTCACTATGAGAAGCTAGAAGTTGTGAATATTTTTTTCTTTTGTTTCATAATTTTCTTTTTATATTGCCTTCAAATTGACTTTGAACTTGTTGAGCTTATTAGGTGGAAGATATTGTGAAGTACAGTGAGGATGGTATTCCTGTTAAGAGGCTACGGAGAAAGGTGATTGACATCAACTCAAAAAACATAGCCAGTAGAAGTTTTTGGAATGAGAACCCTAGTCTCCTTGAAGAGCTGGGTAGTTTTACTCAGGATGTTGACAAAATTAAACCAGATTATATAAGGTCTTTTTTATTTGAAAACAAGTTGATGCCATCTACTTGGATTGTGATTAGAATCGATGGCTGCCATTTTCACAGGTAAAATTGGTCATCATGCTGCTTCTATTCATTTGGACTGTGCTTGTTTCCCTTGGCTGCTAGTCAATGGAAGTTGAAACCCTCCTCAAGAACTCAACCTAGAAGCTTTAGCTGATAGGTGAGAGCTTAATATATATATATATATATATATATATTTAATTCTAAACCACCCTTCACTCGTAAGGTCATTCAGCTTTTCAAACCAATGGTGCACATCTGTCACACATTGTGCTCAAACTATCAAAATTTATTATAAGCTCCAGATGTTGTAGGCTTTAAGTTTTAGACCTCTAGGTCATGTGTAGCTCTAGTACCATAACAGAAACTGTCCATCAAAAACCTTGAGCTAATAGATGTGGGCTCAAAGATAGTTTTCATATCTAACAGAAACCACTTTCCACTGACTTCTACTTTAAATGTAGATTACTATTCTCAATATTGCTTGATTTTAGCTTTCTTGGAGATCAGAGAATTGTTGACATGCAATCCTACATGATCTTCAGCTCTGAAGTTGAACTCCACCATTAAAATATATTAATAAGGACATCTTGATTGGACCAGAATGTAATTACTTGATGCCTTCAAAATTTAAGAGCATTTCAAATTGCATGTTCCTCTTATTCTCCCTTTGGGGCTATGGTGTGTAACTCAGAAAATAAATGAGATTAAGACGAGGCAATATTCATTTTCTCATTTTGGAGACCATAAATCTTGTAGGAGGATTTCTGTTCAAATCTTCTCTTTGTAAATAGATTATATCTCCACAGAGCTTGTTGGTATCAAATCTGTGAATTTTAGTTAATTATACTTCTAGCTCATGCAATGGAACTGAAAAGTTTTCTTATATGGCTTTTGATAGATTTTCTGAAGTTCATGAGTTTACAAAGCCGAACGATGAGCAAGCTCTTAAACTTATGAATTCATGTGCTGTCACTGTGTTGGAAGAGTTTGAAGATGTTAAATTCTCCTATGGGGTCAGTGATGAGTACAGGTAACATATTTCTTCACATAGTTCATCCTGATGTTTGTTTCTATGCATTTGTCTAATCATATTTTTTGGTGTTATCTTCCAGCTTTGTTTTGAAGAAAAATTCGCAGCTATATCAAAGAAGAGCCAGGTTGTTTCCCATGACTTTTCTCCTTTTTTAATTGAATACATCAACTTGAAGTGAAGAACTAAATTTGGAAATCTGGAGGTCTAATTGATGGTTTCATATATCGTAAGTAGTAGTGCAACTAAGCAGATTATCTTAATCAAGTGATCTATGCCACCATAAGCACTCTCTGCAGACAATCAAGTCGGCATGAAACTGATTGGAAATCTCTGTTAGAACTTCCTCTATTCAGTTCATATGGCTGGTTTTCTCAACTCAAGAATGTGGCTTGTAAGAAGTAAAATTTGAGACACACACAACATGAATGCTTATATGCCCTCTATAAAGCTTTATGAAGCATATTATTAATGATTTGATTTCTTGTGAGAAAAAAAAGCTATTAAATAATGTTAGCATGATCATCCTATTTTTTGAGTGCAATACCCAAATTTTTTACTCCTCCACAAGATTTCTGACTCTTCAAGACCACCATTATTCCATAATTTTGCTTGAGAAGAATTGCATTGAATGGGTCCTTTCTAATTTGACTTTGATTTATAGTCGGATAATTTGATGTCTACAGTGAAATAGTATCTGCCATTGTGTCATTCTTTACTTCAGCATATGTAAGGAAATGGAGAGAATTTTTCCCGGATAAAGAGTTGAAATATCCTCCATCTTTTGATGGACGGGCTATATGCTATCCATCATCCAAGATTCTTCGAGATTATCTAGCATGGAGACAAGTTGATTGTGAGTATCCTTTCAGATATCTTTTGGTTTATTTCCTTCTTCCATTTGAACTCTTTTTCTCCTTTCCTTTCTGGGTGTGGTGTTTTGGTGCTTTTGAGTGGTGGTGCTTGTTTGGGAGTAGAATGCCTGAAATTATTGAAGTTCTATTCTAGATATCGTGCCAGGCAGTCATTAATCAATGCATAAACTTTTTACTATATTTGTTATGTGGTGTAAAGGCCAATGATGATAATTTTATCCTCTTTTTTTCTTTGATTTTCAGGTCACATCAATAATCAGTACAACACTTGTTTTTGGGCACTTGTTAAGTCTGGAAAAAGCAAGAGTCAAGCTCAAGATTATTTAAAGGTGGTAATTTCTGTCAAATACTCTTTTCCTGTTTCAGTATTTGTTACATTTGTATATTATTTCCTCCTGTGAGAATTTGTACTTTGCACTTGGTAATGAACAAAATAATTTTCTTTGGTTATTAAGAAATCATTTTTGTGGAGAGATCCACTTATACACAATTCTTAGCTATCACACTTATACAAAATCTTGACCATTCATCTCTCCACTTTTAATGGTTGAAATTTATCATGACCTTTTAGATGAAAAAAACAATTATCTTTAATAAAAGTGAATAAATCTCAACCATTAAAAGTGGAGAGATGAATGGTTGATATTTTGTGTAAGTATGGCGTGCGAGACTTGTGTGTGAATGGATCCCTACTCATCTTTTTTATTTACTTATTAACATTTCTGACATGAGATAATTTCTATTTCATGATAGTTAAATGTAGTGCACTTGTTTTTAAATAAAAATGTTCCCCTTTTTATCTACTCATCATCATGACATGCATGGTGATTTATGATTTTGCTAACTCTAATTGGATGTGTTTTTAACTGCATCGGTGTTGTCATTTTTTCTCAATCTTGATTTCTTCTGATCTTTCTCTCTACTTCGTTCTCCTCCTTTCTGGACTTGGCAGGGTACCCAAGCTCTGGAGAAAAATGAATTGCTTAGAAAAGAATTTGGAATTGAGTATGATGCATTGCCAGTCATGTTTAGGCGGGGTTCTTCAGTTTTCCGGACTAAGGTTGCCTTTTTCTTCACGCTTAAATCTCTAGTGAACACTTTGTTTTGTATTTCACTTAAATCAATTAGATCTTATATTCTGCTTTATTGAGTTTCACACATGCAGCTCGCAGCACATATGACTTAAGATATGCATGTCTAATGCTTACATATAAATCATGTGGCTCTTTTTTCTAATTCTCAAGTGATTATTGTAAAGCTTTACTTTTATGCATTAGTTTTTAATAGTTTGGATTTAGTTCTAGCAACAGCTTTCAAGCTGAAAAATAAGAACATAGAAAGTTTTTTTGATCTGATGTTGTACAACAGAAAGCAACATTCTCCTATCCCTTAGTCCACTTCACTTACAAATCATGCGACTTGAACTTAACTTAGGATTTCTTATTTCCACTAAAAGGAGATTACTACTAAGTTATTTAGGTTATCGGTAAGAACATAGAAAGTTAAGATCAATAGTTTGTCATGGAATGTCTTCTTTGATCCTACTGCTCGGCAAGCTGTAAATGTAATTACCTCCTCCTGATACTTTAGCTTCTTGAGCTGATGAATTTTTTTTTCATGCAGGCTAATAAGGCTCAGACGCCCGAGAATGGTGCTTCTGCTGAGAAACTTCAAACCGAAATAATTGTTGATTTCTGTAATATAATTGAGCAGAGCTTTTGGGAAGCATATCCAAGCATTCTTGATGAGGAAGCCGACTAACCCAGAAGTGCATTTTGGGCTCATCTGAAAACTTCTGCCATTGCTTTTCTCTACCTTTTTTTTTTTTTTTTTTTTTTGAACTTTCCAAAGCATGTATAGGATTCTAGTATTTAAAACATAACATCCAAAAAGCAAATAAACAGTTCTTCTACGTGTTTGGTTTGAAATTGAATTAGATTTCATTATTTTTCTTGGGTTTCATAAAATTTTTGATGCTTCAAATTTTTTTGACGGTTGAAACAAAGTCCCAAAAACATAATTTTTATGGGCCATGACAAAAATACCTATACCATTCAAAATTTGTAGGTAAGGAGGAAGGGCGTTCTTGTTAAACCTCACTGAAAAATAAAGTTCTCATTAAGTATTCTCATATTTGATTAGAATCGGTTAAATTTAATAATTCAACTACTATCATCAATCTTATATTACTTAAAAAATGTTCTAATCATTGTTTTGCTTAACGGCCAATTACTCT